CAGTGCCTGGAAAAGGTATCTTGTTCTCCAATCATGATCATTTAAGGTTAGAGGCCTTCACTGATGCAAATTGGGTTGGTGCTATTGATGATAGGAGGTCTACTTCAGGCTACTGTTCATTTGTAGGAGGGAATTTGGTAAGCATTCAGTTGTAGCCAGATCAAGTGCAAAAGCAGAGTATCGGGTCACAGTGAATGGCATTTGTGAGCTGACGTGGCTTCAAGTTTTACTGGCTGACTTAGGATTGTTGAATGGTGGACCTATGCAACTATATTGTGATAATAAGGCCGCTATTGATATTGCCTATAACCCAGTTCAACATGATAGGACTAAGCACATCAAGATTAATTGAATTTTATTAAGAAAAAAGTGAATAGTGACATGATTTGTATGCCTTTTGTTAAATCAAAAGATCAGTTAGCTAATGTGTTTACTAAAAGGGTTAGGTAGTAAAGTTTTTCATCCTATTTTATGCAAGTTGAGCATGAGAGATATTTATGCACCAACTTACGAGGGAGGGTAACATTGTCCTTATTTCCTTAATATAAATACATGTGATTAGAAAGGTAAAACCTAATTTTGGTTTGTAACCCCTTTTCCTGCAAATCTCTTGTTTCTTGTCTTATCTTCCTCTCTCAACTTTACAACTCCATATAGTTTTAACCAATATCATGAGTTTTTTAGAATTGTACAATTTTTGCAAAATCATTACGACTAATTAAATATGGCCGATGTTTCTCATGTCAATTAGAAAATGGTCTAAAATGCTATTATAAAAGGGTATGATGTGCTACCACCACCTGCCTCCCTATCCAAACTAGCTTGAAGTGTGAAACCCTAAGGGAACTTGTGGATTAGCTTTTAACCATGATGAGTGTCTAAGGTTTCTCCTAAGGGAACTTGTGGATTGGCTTTTAACATCCATGAGGAGTGTCTAAGGTTTCCATGTGGGTTTGGGAATCCCATGGATGGTGTCATCAAGTGGCGTAAGTGTCGGCACTAGGGGTGCTCGTGGTTTAGTTGCGGCCTGGAAACTCCAATCTGTCAATTGTTGAAATCTAGGCGGATTGGAGAAAATCAATTCGCAACCGTCCGTCAGATTGACAGATGCGAATTGAGCGGATTGGTAGATGGATGCAAATCGATTTGATGGTTAACATTTTACAGATTTTCAACATAATAGAACCTGTCGACATAAATTTTTTATTTTTTATTTTTTGGATAACAATGAAATCTGTCTTATTAATAATAACTACAAACATGGATAATAATCTAACAAACCTCTATGTTAACAATGACTGCAAACTAAGGGTGCTCGCGGTTTGGTTGCGGTTTGGGAATCTCCAATCTGTCATTCATCCAAAACTAGGCGGATTGAAGAAAATCAATCTGTATTCGTTCGCTTGTTATCACGCATTCGTCCAAAATGTAGCGGATCGATTCTGTTTGATCGGTTTCGGCAGATCGGTATATCCATTAAGCACCCCTAGTCGGCACTGCTCATTTCTTCTAGTGATGACGTTTAGGATACACACTCACTCTGTCCGACATAGCATCTTAGGGTGTTTGTCCTAAACCGAATGGGTTATCAATTGCCGCCTAAGAAGCACGGACACAGACACGGACATGGACATGTGACACGACACGGACACACAGACACGTAATTTTCAAAAAATGCAAAACACGACATGTAGGGGACACGTTCAAAACATATATTTTTATATTTTTATTGTATATATATTTGTAAATATTTAATATGTATTTCATGTCAAATATTTAATTTTACCAAATTTATTAACCTTAGGTATGCTATTTTAGCAAAAAAAATTAAGTATTATAATTTTTTTTTTTGAAAAAAGTAGTACTCAGCATGTCCTTAGAGTGTCCCCAGCATGTCCCTAGCGTGTCCTCAATGCGTCTCTTGTGTGCCCTCAGCGTGTCCCAATGTGTTCACAGCGTGTCCAAAGTGTCCCAGCATGTCCAACTCTTTCTACTGTGTCTGACACGTGTCCGGAGTGTATCCAACACGTGTCCGAAGTGTGTTCGACACGTGTCAAACATCTACACGTGACCTTTGAAGAAGTGTTCGTGCTTCATAGGTTGCCACCAAAGCCTCGTGTGCCAACTCACAGGCATGTGCTCGGGTTTAGCCATGCTTGTGGGGATCCCATGGCCAAAGGCAAGCAATTTAGTGGCAACGCCACTACTCGTAGGTATTTTTGGAAGGCATGAAGCTCTACCATCATGTTAGGCACCTTGTGTTTAGCTTATGGATAATGCTATTAGTGGGCTAGGGAGCAACGTTGCCTTACTTGTATAACACACTAGTCAACACCTTGGGCATGCAATGGCCCTTCTTGGACAATAGGATGCAAGCATGTCAGGGGCCTATACTAGCACCTGGTTGGGAAAAATCAAGTAGCTTAGCTGTGGAGAACACTTCTAGTGGACACTAAGGTGTACGGTTGTGTGGCAAGAGGCGCCTTGACAACATTGGACCCTTCAGTGGGGCAAGTGTCTTGCTTATAGGCAAGCTCAGTGCACTGAAGCAACTGGTTGGACATATGGATATGCAACTTGGGACAAGTATGCCTTTGGGAAGCATTTGAAGTACGGGACTTCCTTCAAGACAGTTGTTCTTGCTTGACAAATCATTGGACCTACATATGTTAAGACAAGTGAAGATTGAACACTCACATGGTTTACAGAGTTTGGCAGGCTTGAACTTGGTGGAGTTCTGAGTGCCACACGGGTGAAGAATTGTTCAGCTACATAGACAAAACAGTCAGCCCGCGACACCTAGGTATGTCGAACCCTTTGACATGCACTATACAGAGTATAGAACTCTATGGTCTTCTTCCTTGGGAGGCTAGAGATGGAGGCTTTGTTGCTAGGCACACCAAGCTGCCTTAGGCTTGTCCTACTAAAAGGGAGAGCTTGCCACCAAACTTCTCTATAATCATTACGTAATTCTAATTGTCTGACAAGATCCCTATAGCAAACATTCTGGACTGCGAGTAACGACCACATGCTCACCTCCTACATGTAGGGAAGTGTACTTTTATTACATGACAACAAGATTTCCCTCCCTCCCTCTCTCTCTCTCTCTCTCTCTATCGGACTAATACATCGCTCTCTGTAGAACTTGTACCATATTATATCCCAAAGATATTCTAGAAACCCAAAAAGTCAGTAGCTATGTAACAGACCAAAAACCACAGTTTTTTAATGTAGAGCTAAAAAAGGCAACAAAAAACAGACCAAAAACCACAGTTTTTTAATGTAGAGCTAAAAAAGGCAACAAAATCTATAGTTTAGCAAAAAATACAACAGTTAGAATACTTACTCCATTGGGATTCCTCTCTACATATTATATAGGGATTATTATACTCAAGGCAACAAATTGTTTTAAAGTCATTAGAATAATATAGATTTATTTACATATCTGTCAAAAATACAAATAAAATGTCATTTTTGTCCCACTCCATCTCTTCCCCAACATCACTTCTACCTTCCTCCCACAACCGGTGCCACCTTGTCCCCTCTCTCACCCTTCACAACCCCCTCCTCTATAGCTGCCCATTCTCCTCTCCCTTACTCATTTCTCCATTTTAAGACGTTTTATCTTATTTATCTTCATTATCACTACAGATATATTTACATCTATGACTGTATGTGTCTTTTAGTTTTATGCTTATACATGAAATTTTTCATATTTTTTGCAACTAAGTATTGCATACAAGTTGTGCAAGTCAGACACACAAATATATATATATACACATAATATTACCGAAAGAGATAGGATATATAGGGGCTCATGGAATTGCAATCCTTTTGGAGTTGATTCATTAACTTACTTTGGATGCAGTAAGTGAGGGTCAGCAAATGTAAGGCCGAGGCAAGGGTTGCAAGGATGAAAGGGCTGGGAAGAATATTCTTGGGTACAAATGACCAGTAATTATGTTTTTGACCTATTGCTAAATAAATTTCTGTTATTTGGAGTCTAAAATAAAATTTTATTTGATAGATTTAAATGTAATCAATTTATCATTTACTTCCTTAAGTATAATAACCCCTATTATATATAATGGTGTTGGTATGAATTGTTGTAAATATGAATTTTTGGTAAATGTTTCGATGAATAAGAAAGTGTGAATATTCACACTTAAAACCAAGGGTAAAACAACCACGAAAAATGGTTAACATTTAAAAATGGGAATTCATCTCCTAACCTTCCATATACGTGGGACTAAATAGGTTAATAAATTTCCCATAGAATTTATCATAAAATAAAATCATTAGAACTTTTCACTAATTTCCCCTTTATTAACTTGCTGAGCATATAGTCATTGACAAAGGGGAATGGCGAAAAAAGAATCATATACTTGGTTGGTTTGATTTGGATCGGTTTGGTTTATGTGTACCTAAGTGACTGACTAAGGAAGTAACAACAAATCATCAGAACTTTTTGCATCCACCAAACTTCCACTGAAAATACAAAGAAAATAATCTTAAGAAGACATTGTCCTATATATGTCTGCAAAAATCCAAATGACATGGCATATTTGATGAAGTTCAAATGACTAGAACAATTTAATGCATTTGAATAGACAAAGATTGAAATGTACAATAACATGTTTGTGTTTGTGTGTGTGTGTGTGTGTGTGTGAGAGAGAGAGAGAGAGAGAGAGAGCAAAACCATGCAAATTTAAGGGCATCTTATTGTGTTGATTTATGAGTCAAATGTATTAAATTTGAATGAATTTAAGTTTAAATATGTCTTCCAATATTTGATTTAATTAACAAAATAACACAATACACATTATTATGTCATGCATGGTTCTTACTACTAAAATTGTAATTTGTGCCTTCAAGATTAAGGAAAAAAAAAAAGTACTCAGCAATGGAGGAATAAGGATAATCACAAACACATTCTCTTAAATGGAATTATATGAATATATCATTTATTATTTCCTGATTACATGAATCAGTACACATACCTTGCGAGGTGCAATAGCCAACTCATTGTCCACAATGGATACTGCTTTAAGCCCAATGGGGTTCAAAAACTCTTCATAACTACACTGACAAAAAATAATTATGACCAATCAAAAAGAATCTTTTGAATAAAACTCAATAAGAATTTAAATGAAAGTGAACTGAAGGGCAGAAAAGTACTCGGCAACAGATACTTTATATGGTGGCCCGCCAACATGATCGCTGACCTGACACAAAAGAAATTTTATTTTCACCTTGACTGTTGGAGACATAATAAATTATTATATTCCAAAAAAAGGCAAATTTCCCCTCTAAAACTTTCACCAGAATAGAGAAGGACATTCCAATTGAAGGTTATGGTGTTTATCATATTTAACATTTTCATAAATAACGTAAGAATTTTCTATCTGATGAAACTAAGTTGCCTTGGTATATCATATGAAAATTTTTGGATTCACTCAGTAAAGGAAAATTAGAAAAGAGGAAAAGAAAGGAAGAGAGAGAGAGAGAGAGAGAGAGAGAGATGGGAACCGGAAACATTAGTGTTATGAGCTCTCCATCTGGCTTTAAAAGATCTCGCATTTGGCTTGCCCAAGCTGATCTCATATCAGGTTCAATGGCACAAAAGAATCTGCAAAGTTGTCCATTTGACCTACTAATCAAGATGTTTCTTCTAACAGGATAAGCAAACCAAACTTCACACAAACTTACGTGTAGTCAAAAATGAGATCAAACAACTCAGTTGGACGCCAAGTAAAGAAGTCTTCCTTTAAGAAGGTAAAATAATCTGCATTTGGTAATGACGATGACAACTGTGTTCACAATTAGTGCAGAAAATAAGAGTGAGAACATTTCCAAAAAGTATCAGAATTCATGTAAACAACTTGTGGAGCCACAGTTCTGAAAATAGCTTTATCTGATCCACTTACACCCCAGTGTTTGACGGTCTTTCATAGTTTCTCTTTCAGTTACAAAGTGCTACTCATGTTTTCACCAGAGTGGTAAGCAATAAAGTTTTTCAATTTCTTTCAAGATTCAGTGACATAGTGGTGTATTATGATATTTAGAGTAGTTGAGCTATCCTCACTGTTTGAACAGAATTACCATTTAAGTGCATTAGTTGACCAAGAAACCAAGAACACTGTAATAATAAACTTAGCACGTTAATGTCTAATAAAGAAGAAAAGTAATTTAGTGCAGTCCCGTGGGCAATGATAGCATGTAATGAAATAATAAAAACAAGACCAAAATCTATCCCATTTGGATGGTAATGTCAAGTAAAGAACTCAGTGATTTTCAGCATTTAAGTTTTGTTACAAGCAGTTATTCTTGCAAAGGGAAACACCCTTACTAGTACACTGATGCACATATCAATTTGGGCACCAACACTTTGTTACAGTCCATTTACTTTTAAGGTCACCATGTTAGGCACCTTAAATTTGGTGTAAACAAATTTGACTTGTGGAAATTGAAATGATCAGAAAATGTTCTGTAAATGAGGAGTTAGTCATGCAAGATATAGATGAGGTTCCTAAAGCAACTAGAAAGACTTCAAAATGCCTTTATGTAGTGCAAGACATCACTCTTAAGTTTTTTCAAACTGAAACTGAAGTAGTGATGCAAATCCCTTTAGATACACAACTATAACTAAGGAGTTGCAGTAATCAGAAAAATTAGGTGAAGAAATTCAACTAGCAGGGTCTTATTTGTATCACCATGGTCATATCCAATTTGCCTTTCTATAGGGAAGATAAAGTGGTGAAACAGACTAACATGAAATCATGTATTACCTCTATTGCTTTCTTAATTGCTTCGTCTGATATGTCCAGTCCAACAACATAGCGCTCAGGGCATGCAATTGCAACCACATCATGACCCTACCATATATGAACTGATTGCTGTAACTGAGCCAAAGAAAAATAGGAAACGAACGTAGAAGGGAAAAAATGGCTGCTGAAAAAATAGCAAGGCCCGGAAGCAAGTAGACTATGACAAAAACCAACAAACAATGAAACGTGTCATTTTTGACACGTGTACTTATTAAAAAAATGAAAATAAAAGGTCATTTTGAAACATGTAAATACATTTCTACCTATAATTTCACAAACAAAAGTTTTGATTAACAGCCAGAGATAAAATAAAATAAAATAATTACAATTAACAGTCTGAAAACATTATGGGGGCGCCACTAGCATCCTGACGGAAAGGGAAAACTTAATCAACCCCCATGTTTTCAGATTGCATTGCACTAAAACTAAATCCCATCTTGTTTTTCCAACACACTTATGACTTTCCTTCCCCATCGACAAACTGTGGTTCTGTTAAAGATTATTGAGTATTTCAGAATATGAATGCAATCATCTCAAAGATTCCAATAATTTAACTTATTTACAGAGTTTTAACACAGTTTTTAATTGTTTGCAAGTAGGAAAAGTGGCTTTGTGCCAAAGTCTACTTTGTTTCACAATAGTTTCACTCCAGCGGATGGATGTTGCCCTTCATGCGCAAGGGGTCAAAAGACAAATTAATTGTCCAAAATTTTTAAATGAAAGAAGCATATCCCCTTCTACATAGAAGCCCATGGGAAAACGGAAAGGCTAAAAATATTGAAGAAGGGATATGAAAAAACATAACTGAAGGTAAGTTGACTAATATTACATATTTTGGTAACCAATGAAGAAATTTTAGGCATTTCATTGAAAACTTTCTTAAATCTTTGAACTCATGTGACTTTCTTGTGATATTCTTCTTAGTACAATAAATTCAACCTTTATAAAGGTGGTACCCAGTGCACAACACCCTAACTTACAGCAGGATTTGGGAAAGGTATAGGCAGCCTTCCCCCCACTTTTTGTGGAGAGGTTGATTTTGCGATAAGTTCAACCTTTGCAGCAATGCTATTTACAAAATCAATCATCCTAAGAAAATAAAAATAAAAATGGGGAGTTCAAAAAATCATTCACAAGTCATAAGCATAATTGTCAAATTGTAAATCATATCATGAATCGAATCGAATCAAATCGAGAATCGCTAAGATTTAGTACAAACTATAAAAATGGTGTTAAAGAACCGTATATACGAAAAAATAAATAAAATAAATTGATTTTGGCACATGTTATAAAATAGTTGTTCTATAAAGACATGATTAAACCGTTTTCTTGGGAATAACCATAAAATTATTTAAACATCATAATATAATCTCTCTTGACATTCAAAACATGGATCTAGAAACCCTATAGAGAGTATAATAATTAGAATATCTAAGTAGAATTATTTATTTTAAACCTAAGTAGAATCTTTTATTTTAAAACCTAAAACACTTTGAAAAGTGTGTATATTTTTTGTTAAAAAAACGTTTAAAAAAGAAGTTGTGGAACCATTGAGTTTAATTGACTTGACTCATGTAATATTGAATTTGAACTATATTTATTTCACTAAAATAGCAATATATAGTTCATGTGAGCGAGTTACTTTAACCTTAAGCATCCATGTATTGAAGTATTTTTTGTTTTAGGGAAAAAAAAAAAAAAGAAAAAGAAAAAGAAAAAGAAAGGTTCACATGCTGGATCTAATTGAATCTTATTAAAAACTCTCTGATCATCAAAATAACAACAAACCAAGCATAGGTATTGGTTATTTTTGTACTAAAGGCAAGTTTGGGAACCACCTAAAATAGCCAAAAAGTCACTAACAAAAAGTCAACTCTTCTCTCTATTTTTATGCACATCTTTTCATAAAAAGTCAAAAAGCCAACTAAAATAACTGGTTCCCAAAACAACCCTAAATAGTCCTAGAAATTGAATTATGTCATTTTCACTAAAACAAAGAGGTCAAAATGATCGGAATTTGTCTAACAAAATAATTTCAAAATTTGCATGAATCAACAAAAGTGAATCAAACCGTGAATCGATTGTGAATAATGGTCGGAATCTGTCCGATAAATCAACAAAAGTGAATCAAATCGTGAATCGATTGTGAATCACTCAATTCACTATAGATTTATCCCAAATAGATTCACCTAGAGATTTGAATCAATCTATGCATGAATCAGGAATCGAATTGTAAACTGAATTGCAAATCGTAAGATTCTCATAACAGGGGTTGTAAGTAATAACCACATAAAAGGAACCTCAAGTCATGCCAGCAGTGACCAATGACCCCTAAACTAGTAGATTTTCTCCATCATCAAAACAGGTCCATGATTCTCAAACAAAAACAAAATTATATACCAAGTACAACCTGAGTGCAGACAATGATCTTGCGTCAAAATCAAGCATCAAAGAGGAAACTTAGGTCAAAGGGCTTGATAAAGTTATTGGAAAAGGAACATTATTCTCGCAAGAGTCTTTTGTGACAAAGGCTTGATGCCAATTAAATCTTTTTTGTAGTTTGGCTCAACAAAACAAATGAAAAAAAAAAAAGGTACCAATACTTTACTACTATACCCTAATTTCTAAATAAGTTCGTTAAAGACGACTTTTACTACTAACCCTAATTTCTATTCATGTTTGTTAAAGATGAGGATGATGACTAAAACCCTTTTTTTATGTAGCACCAATACTTCTACAAGAGAGTCAAATTCATATCAGATATTGATACTACTTAAATACTCACAAATACATATCCAACACTTCCTAAATGTATCCACAATTAGAAATTAATTTTCTTTAATTTTGAATAAGTATCTAATGCTTTTTGGATAATCTATGTATCAGACATATCTTGAAATTAAGATATGGCATTTCTTGTGTAGAGAGTATAGTTGTTAGAATAAATGCAAGAATAGTTTCCAATACTTTGCATGCTCCTAAGAAAACAAAATTGGGATATAGTGGGATTAAAGCATGTCAAATTTGGTCCAAGTTTGTGTCCACATAACATAACCTCAATCTTTTTTATGTGAATATATTATAGTTTGTTACAAACGTGTTATTACAAAATTATTATTTTTCATTTATTTATATACATACATAGATGATACACATATCACCATATTAGTAACGTATTTGTATCCTAATTTTTTAGAACTTTCTGTATCAACATATCTGTATTGTGTGGTATACGTATCCTCTATCCATATCCGTATTCATATCTGTACTTTCTTGTTCATAGTTCTTAATTCGTTTCCTAGCCAATCATTAGTTGTATTCATCTTATTTCATTTAAGTTCCTTTCTAGTTTCCAAATTGACACAAACGCTTCATTTCTCTTATTTTCTTTTGTGCTCTAGTAGTTCTCAAATTTAGTAACAAAAATAGACGACAATCAAGGTTTCGAAAAGCAGCTGTGGTGCAGTTGCGGTTGCGGGATGTAAAAGCCGTAACTGTCTTTTTTTATTTTTTACACAATTTGAAAAAAATGGTGTAGTGGGTTAGGTTTAGTGGAGTAGGTTTAAGTGGGTGAAGTAGGTGGAGAGTATGTGGATTTAGTGGGTTAGGTTTAGTGGAGTAGGTGAGGTGGTAGTGGTGTAGTGGGTTAGGTTTAGTGGAGTAGGTTTAAGTGGGTGAAGTAGGTGGAGAGTATGTGGATTTAGTGGGTTAGGTTTAGTGGAGTAGGTTTAAGTGGGTGAAGTAGGTGGAGAGTATGTGGATTTAGTGGGTTAGGTTTAGTGGAGTAGGTGAGAGTGGGTGAAGTAGGTGGAGAGTAGGTGGTGGGTTAGGTTTAGTGGAGTAGGTGAGAGTGGGTGAAGTAGGTGGAGAGTAGGTGGTGGGTTAGGTTTAGTGGAGTAGGTGAGAGTGGGTGAAGTAGGTGGAGAGTAGGTGGTGGGTTAGGTTTAGTGGAGTAGGTGAGAGTGGGTGAAGTAGGTGGAGAGTAGGTGGTGGGTTAGGTTTAGTGGAGTAGGTGATGTGGTAGTGGTGTAGTGGGTTAGGTTTAGTGGAGTAGGTTTAAGTGGGTGAAGTAGGTGGAGAGTAAGTGGATTTTAACAACATATTGCCTCATCTGGCAGGTATTCTGCTTATGAATATGCATAAATACCTATGAAGCATGACACTTCAAAACAGGCGCCATAGTGGTGTCGGAGACGGGGACACGTACAGGACATGCCAAATGGCGTGTCCCTTTAATTTTATTATTTTTTTTTGTAGGTGGCACGCCGGGGACACGACATGGACACACCGGGGACACGGCTGGGACACGCCAAATGGCATGTCCCTTAATTTCTTTTTTTGCTGGGGACACTTCAGAGACACATCAGGGACACGCGTGTCCAAATATGGATAATCTATTAATTTGTTTAAATATAGTGGTTTATATATATATATATATAGAATTAATGTTAGTTTTTATTAATTTTGATTGTTTGGTAACATAATATTAATCTACATAGCAAATATATATATAATTAAAAAAATTGCCATGCCTCCCGCCGTGTCTGCGTCCCCATTTTTTTGGAATTGCCGTGTCTCGTGTCTGTGTCCATGCTTCATAGCCCAACACTAACTAAACAAGATAAAAGATCTTCCTGTTCCTTTCTTTTCAACTCCTTCACCTCACTGTTTCTTATGACCAATAAAACCCTATGTTTCTTATAACCAAACAGAGTGTTAAGAGGGTGTGATTGAGCTCGATTCATGATGTAGTTAATAATCAAAATATGAATATCCATTATAAAAAAAAATAATTATTATTATTATTACTTTTCAAGTCAAAGTATGGGATCAATGAGAATATTTCTATAGCATATACAAAAATCTTAATGCAGAAGAACAAGTCAATAAATTTTCCTCAAATAAAAAGTTACGAATCAAATCAACGTATCTAACAATAGCACCTCTTGACCAACAAGACTGATAACAAAGAAAAACATTAAACATCTTACTTACACTGCCACATCCAGGGACCAAAGCTCTGCCCTTGGGAAGGGCACCAGCCTGGTGAAGATGTACCATAACCGGTGTTGGCTGTCCCAGATCCCATGGGGTCAATCCCAGCTGCCAACATTTTTCCCAACCATCTGAGAAGCCAAGTGTGTTTGATGTTACTATAATATTTCCCAAGAGGACTTGTACAATTTTATGATTGAACAAGCACAGAATGAAAATATGATACTCTTGTCTTGTACAGTGCTACTAAAAAATGTAATAGTAAACAACCTAGAAAGTGCAAATGCCGGTCATTTTGGGCCTTATCAGAGCATCTTCTACACAACCCAAATATTTTTTTATTCTTTTTTCTATAATTTATGATACACAGAAGTAAAAATTGAAAAAACTCAAAATTTCAAACTGGGCAGGCAATTCTCTCTATGTGAAGAAGTTATTCATCATCTGGTGCTCTCGAGCTAATGAGTTGGACCTAATAAAAAAAAGAATGAAAAGAATTATTTGGCTCACCCATGAATGAGGTATAGGCCATGTATACCCATGAATGAGGTATAGGCCATGTATGTATAATAGATTCATGATACAATTTAGAAAATGATATAAATGAAAAAACAATACTAAATCAGTGATTGACACAATCACAGATTATATACATAATACTAAAAATAAAAAGATTTTATGTATTCTAATTTTTATATTCAACAATAAATAGTAGTGATCAGAGAACCAAATGCAATACAAATGACAAACAGAAAGTGTATGATGTGAAAGTTGAAACACTCACTGACCGATCAAAACTAAAATATCATATATGAAGTCAAGAACAGCTATTTGGGGTGAACCGAAAGGTGAAGTCAAGCTTTTTCTAAGTCTAAGTTGGTTTGGCAACCACCTAATATAGTCAAAAAGTCAAAAACTCAACTATTCCCTCTAATTTTATGCACGTCCTTTTGTAAAAACCCAAGTAAAATAACTAGTGATAAACAAATGAGAAAATGAGTGAATATGTATTGAATTGAATAATAAGTAATACAAGGTCCTTTATATAGTGAAGGACATGACTCAAGTATCGTAATACAAATAACCTATCTATGGTAATACAATCAAATAAAATCAAACTAAATTAAATCCTCTACATATGGAATATAATATATTCAATATATATTATAATATATATTGAACATATTCTAACATTCCCCCCTCAAACTCAAGGTGGTTGAGTAGACAACAACTTGAGTTTGGAAAGTATAGTATGAAAACGTCCCGGTGGATGTGCTTTGGTAAAGATATCAGCAGTTTGATCAACAAAAGAAATAAAATGAAGGCAAATAGTATCGTGAACATGTTCACAAATAAAGTGACAATCAATCTCAATGTGCTTGGTACGTACAATCATGAAACACATCATTGTGAACAATTTGAATTGCACTATGGTTGTCACAATGAAGAACAATAGTAGATGAATGAGTAATCCCCAAATCTTCGAGTAACCAACGAAGCCATAATAATTCTTGTGTAGTGTCCACAAAAGCACAATACTCAGCTCCAATAGTAGATCTAGAAACAACAGTTTGCTTCTTACTGGGGCAGGGAATCAAAGAATCATCGAGAAAAGAGCAATATCCAGCAGTAAAGTGTCGATTGGTAGGATCACCTACCCAATCTGCATCAGAATAGCCATCCAACTCCAAGGTAGAATGAGCAAAATAATGAAGTCCGTGAAATAAAACACCGTTCACGTATCGAAGGATACGAAGCACATCAGCATAATGAGTGGAGCGTGGGGATGCCAAGAACTAACTGGCAAGATGAATAGCATAGGCAATATCTGGGCGGGTAACTGTGCGATAAACTAGGCTGCCAACTAACTGTCGATAAAGCGTGGCATAAGAGAGAGGAATACTGTCTAGAGGAGTGAGATGAACATTTGTCTCAAGAGGGGTAGAGGCAGTCTTGCTATCAATGAGACCAGCATGGCTGAATAGATCAGATGCATACTTCGCTTGAGAGAGATAATAGCCACTGGAGTTTGAAGAGATCTCAAGACCCAAAAAATAGTTGAGAGGACCTAGATCCTTCATCTCAAAATAAGTGCCGAGTGAGTGCTTCAACTCAGCTATACCAGTAACATCATTGCCAATAATGATCATGCCATCAACATAAAGAAGAAGAAGAGTGGAGCCATGATCAGTCTTGCAGATTAAAAGAGCATAATCATATGGACTAGAAGCAAAGCCAAATTGTGCAATAATGGTCCTAAACTTGGAGAACCAAGCTTGGGGAGCTTGCTTAAGGCCATAGAGAGCATGCCGAAGTTAACAGTTACAGACCGTTTGAGAAGGGTGATCATAACCAGCAGGGGGTTGCATATATATGTCTTCAAGGAGGTCTCCATTGAGAAAGGCATTTTTGACATCCATTTGATACAAACCCCACTTGTAGACAGCAACAACGACAAGGAGACTACGAACAAATGGCAAGCAATTGGAGCAAATGTCTCCTCATAATCAATGTCGTACTCCTAAGTAAAACCTTGACCAACTAAGTGTGCATTATAGCATTCTAACAGTACCGTCAGAATGAGTTTTGATCTTATAGACTCATTTACATCCAATAGTAGTCTTACCAGAAGGAAGGTCCACCAAATCCCAGGTATGAGTTACAGCCAAAGCTTGCAATTCATCAGTCATTGCTTGCTACCAAAGAGGATTAGAACTTCACGGTAAGAGTGAGGTTCATGCTGAGAGAGAATAGTAGAATAACAATGATAATCTCGAAGATGGAGAGGATGCTGTTTTACCCGAGTAGAATGACGATAAAGTGTAGTGGGACTAGAAGATGATGTAGTGGAATCAAGGGATACATAACGCCTATTGTGAGAGGTGATGGGGGCAGGACGAGGAGATGGTGCAAGATCCTCATGAGGCCCATGTGAGAGGTGATGGGGGCCAAGACTAGGAGATGGTGCAGGATCCTCAGAAGGCTGACAAGGAGAAGAGACCAGAGAGACAGCGGTAGGACCATCAGATAGGGTAGGCAACATAGGGTCAATTGTAGGCAAGAGCGTCCCTGTGGAGGCTGGAGAATCATCTGTATCAAATTTCAGCTGGGGGGCGGGAGAGAAGGGAAAAGAGGAAAAAAGGGAGGGGATGGGATGGAAACAAACCAGGGAAAGATTTAGTGAAGAGCAGGGGCAGTAATGGGATGAGATAGTGAAATTTGACAATAGATGAAAACATTTTGTGTTTCCCAAAGACGACATGGCGAGAAATGTGGAGAAGTTTGGAAATAGGATCCAACACAAATATCCTTTGTTTCAAATGAATATCAAATGCAAAAAAACAACATAGACGAGAATGGGTTCTGTAGTTTGTATGTTCCATGAGGTTGCGCAACACAAACAAGTAGTACCAAAGACTCGCAGAGTGGTAATAGGACAAGTTACCGATACAATGCTGATATAGGGAGCGTGATTGCCGATAGTGTGTGGAACACGGTTGATGTAAAAAACCAAACAGTGAAGGCAACTTCGCTTCCAAAACTTTTCAATACACAAGAGGAGAGAAGGACTACAGTAGTAGTATTGAGAATATGCCTATGTTCCGTCCAAGCATGACCATTTTGGTTCTGAGACATGTCGGAATAGGAACGGTGAGGTTGAGGTACCATGACTTGTAGAAAAGAGAGTAAATCAATCTTTTGTTTACATGGCATTATCACAACAAAAAACTTTAATGGACAAGAAAACTTGTTTTACATGTATTGAAATATTATAGTAAATCATTTATTCAAAGCGATTTCAATTGAGAAATATTCAATAAAACGAGAAAATCATTATAACAAATGACAAAATATCTAGAGCCACCCCATGCTTAAAGTAGGGGATGACCCCCAAATATTGAATGGTTAGATAAGAAGGTCTTAGGAAAAAGTCACTTTTAGGGAAAAGCATAGTTGTTTTCCAGTTGCAGGACAAGCAATCTGAGCGTTGACAAACAACATTCCTAAACTTTACCACTAGAAATTAAAAGACTTTAAACGACCCAAAAGAAATGATGTCCTAAACGGAATGCCAAAGATGAAAAGCGAGATATATTGAAAGTAGAAGCAGCAATTGATGGAAAGGGGACACTGATCGAGGAATGAGTTCAAAAGATTTGTCCATAGCTTGCGACTGCTCATGTTCGTCCTCATCTGGGGGTCCGGCACCATGGTACACATTAGCGGATAATGTATCATGAGACCAAGTTCACCACAGTTGACGCAACTGGAGAGATCGATTTAGTAGAGCAGGTATAAAGATATAACATTTATGGTAAGTCAGATTAGATTTAGGACTGAACAATATAGACACTGACATACTAGAGAACCATCACAGTATGAATGAAAGAGAATTATGGAGGGAGAAAAGTAGAAAGAGCAGAAGATACGTAAGTCATATGGTGAGCAATGCGGGTTCAAAGTACTAGAAGATGTAACCTGAGGTGATTGATAAAGCAATAAGGTGGATGAGTACCAGAGAGAAGAGAGAGCGGTAAACATGGGCCGACCTGCTTGTTTTAAGAAATATGAAGGAGAATTGGACCAGTTGAGGAAAAGATTTGAACAAATATAGGAGTGATGTCTGAAGATAAGTGGGTCACAGCAGAGTAGCGTTGATAGCAAGCTGACATGGCCATGTAGGGCAAGCCTAGCAAAAGCCGAAATGCTACGCCGCCTTAGGCAAGCCAAAAGGAAGCCGATAAAAGTGGTTGTGGGGAAGCTGAGAAGGCATGCGGACTTAGATGAGTTTGGCGGAAGCGAAATGAAAATGATTGAGGTGTAGAAACCAAGCGTGCAGATAGCGGCTTAGGGGAAGCCGAGTGGGTGGTGCAGTGATGCTAGGGGCTGACATTAGGGTTATGTGCTGTTGAGCGAGGCATGTGACAAAACGCTGTGAGTTGAATTACGCTTGAAATTTCAGGCAACGCGTGTTGCGTTGGATTTTCTGTGGGTTTGCATCCGTTAGACTCTTGAGAATGAGAGGAAGAGTTGATGTTTCGGAAGTTTGATTTTGACAATTTCATTTATAGGGAGGTTTAGAGAACAAATATTTTGAACCTCTGTTTTGGGTGTGCTCAGCGGATATACT